AAATTAAAATACGTGATAATCATATATATATATATATATAAATTTGTGGAATGCCTAATACTTTTCTCACACTTAACTGACCCTCCAAGTTTAATTAATTTTTACGAAAATCTTGGTAATTTATTCCATCTCATTTGGATAGATGACAATTTTATCCATTTTAGCACTTCAACAATATAAATATAAATCAATTACTATTTTTCTTTATAAATAACACAAGTTGAATTTTAATAAAAAAAAACTGGATGTCACTAAACGAAATTTTATACTTTATCGAATACTATATTTTTTTAACATATTCTTCCTATCTCGCAAGGTGCTGACATTCTCGAAGAATGTGTCAACACGATACCCGTGTCGGTTTTTGACTCATTTTGCAATTTTTCAATGGTAAAATAGCAATCTGGTCCTCCAGCTTTTATATCCCATAACTTAAGAGTCATTCATTTAGGTCCAAAAGGAACCATTCTTCTTTTCATTCAGTCCATCAACTTTCAAAAGATATTGAATTAATCACAAAACTCTTACTATTATGTATTTAAATCCTTTTTGGCATAAAGAATAAAAACTTTTTAAATTTTTTAAAATCACATATTATCTGTGCAAACAATAATACAATCAATTTAAAATAATATATTAAAATAGATAAAATGCTTCTAAAAAAATAAGCCTAATTAACAATTTTTAATAACATATTTGAATTGAGAAAAATAAAGTGAGGGGGAAATGGCATGCAAAGATTATTTATGTGTTCAAAGATGGCTTCATTGATGAAATAGTATGAAGAAGGGCACACTAAAGATGGATTGATAACGTGTGTGGCACCATCACAGGGCAGCAAGGGAAGTCTAAAGATAATTATAAAGCATGGTGTGATTTAGAAGACATTAGCATGCGAAATGATCCCCATCCCTAGGTGCACTTACGTACTAATACTAAATACTTACCAAAAGTTTGATATCAAATGGCATCTAAAGAAAAAGATGCATTCTTTAAAGTTCTCAAGAATCTTCGAGCCCAAGAAGAATTGTCATCAAATATATCATATTGTGTCCAACTCAAACCACACAAATTAATTAGACTCAAAAGTCATGATTGCCATGTGTTGATGCTTGAAGTTCTCCCTATTGCATTATGTAAGTCTTTGCCAAAAAAAATATGCTCAATCATCATTAAATGGCTTGCTTGTGGGCCGAACAATAAGGCTAAAAGATATACAGGTTACATGATTAATGGTTTTGGATTTCACACTAAGGAACATGAGAGATCATTGAAAACTCATAACAGTGGTATTGTTGTGATAGTGAAAGATCAAAGTTATGATAGTAGACAGCTTGTAGAAAAAGAAATTAACTACTGATATCATTAAATTGAATTATTCCGGTATGTATAAGTTTGTGCTTTTTAGATATGATTGAGTTGATATTAATAAAGGTTGCATGGAGGATAATCTTGGTTTCACTCTTGTAAACTTCTCACATTTTATCTATAAAGGCAACAATTTACTTGACGATCCATTCATTTTAGCATCACAAGCTAGAAAAGTTTACCATGTTGAGGATAAAAGGGACAATGGTTGGCTTATTGTCAAACTTGCTAAGTTGAGAGATGTTTTTGATATGGGGGTACAACACAATGGTTTATCAATTGGGGATAACAGTAAAGATATGAGTTGAGTTAGAACTGATATTGATGAAGATGAAGATGGAGTTGATGTCACGTCAAAGATGGAAGAAGAGCAAGCGGGAGACAACGAATCGGTTCCAGAAGATTGAATAATGATCATTTTTAGTAATATAAAGAATTTTTTTTTTTAATCTTTTTTGATGAATTGATATTTTTGTTACTATTGAGATTAAATATGTTATGTTTGTTGAGTTTCTTATTATTCTACAACAATTCTTATTTTAAGATGTGTTTGTTGGAATATAAATTTATATAGTTGATGTTGATTTCACTAAGTTCTAAAGGAAGTTTGAATACTAAAAGAGAATTATAATGTATATATAGACATGGAAAATAAGATAAGTTAAAAGATGTGGAGTTAGGATGCCCCAAGTATATATATATTTTTATTATAGATTTGTTCTTTTGGTTAATATGAAATTTGTTGCATTTTTTATATTATTTGGACAGAAATATAGTTTATGATTTAAAGTTATATAGATATATTTTTTATATTCTTTTCTCAATTTCTAACTAACTTTTTTTTATAGTATTATTAAAAAGGTAGAGAAATTGATCTTCTATATAGGGAAAAATTGAGATTGAAACTACTTTAAAAAACCTCATTGAAACTAAATGCTTTATATTTGTTGAGCTCTTTATTATTTTACAATGACTCTTATCTTAAAAATTGTTTGTTGGAGTATAGATTTATATAGTTGATGTTGATTTTAGTAAGTTCTAAAGGAAAATTGAATGGTAAATGAGAGTTAGAATGTATATATTAGGAACAATTAAGATATTGTGGAGTAAGGATACCCCATGGATATGACTCTTTTTATTTTAGATTCATTCTTTTGGGTTATCT